TGGACCAACATAAAGTCTTGGTGCTCTTTTGAAATGTTATGGCATGTGTGTCAGTGTGTGAAAGAGACACATATACATGTTCTTTAGCAAAGAAACAAGTCTCAGCCATATGCCGAACTTTAGGATAGTGTTAGATTGAGCAAGAAGTCAGGCTAGCTGATTCCCTGCATGAGCTTCTTACCTGTATTCTGAAATATTGGTACTGTTTGACAATGGGAAGAACTAAAAATTGGTCCTCATGTATTCTTTAAGGCTGCTTTGGATTTCCTGACTGCTCAGAACCATGCTTTTTCTTGCAAAAATTGTGAATAAGCTTCTATTGAAAGCCTCAAGCAGTAGTGACTTTTTTTTTATTTTGACCATTCAACAACCACAGTGCTGTAGTTGTGTAGTGTGATATCTAGTTTCGTATGCAAATTCAAACTACCTAAGATCTGTTGCATTGATCCTGCTGCCTAGCCATTATCCGATAGCTCTTTCACTCTATCCCCAGCTTATGTAAATCCACATGCGCTATTGTGCAGAATTCAGATTTGAAGCAAAAGTTGGTGGGTTCAAAGACTGTTGGTTCCAAGTCACATAACTATTTATTAGTCATTGTTCCCTCAATTTAACTAGTCTTTGCCCTTCAATAAAAATGTTGTAATACCTTGTGCCTGAGTGTTCCGATTTGCTGGATTTCATTCCTATTGCCACAGGCCTGAATAAGCTAGCCTGCAGCAAAAGAAGCAAGAAAGCATCTGTATTTTTTAAATCATGCATAGAAGAGAGTCTGTGGCATCTCCTATGCATCTAGATCCTTTTAGCAATGCATCTTAATGACCAATCAACTGTATCTGTGTATATACTGCAGTATCCAAAAAGTAACCCTGTGGCCCATGGAAGGGCGGAGGGAGAGGGACAAAATTGGGCTTTATTGTTGTTTTCCTTCATGTTGCTTCCAACTTGTGAAAACTCTAAGGCAAACATAGTTAACTGGGTTTTCTTGGCAAGATTTGTTGCAAGGGCATTTACAATTCCTTTTCCTGCCCAAGGTCAACCATGCTTGAGTCAAAGTTCAAATCCTGGTCTCACAGATTCCTATGCACTCAAAACACTGTGTCATGTTGGGTCTTTACTAAAACCAACCAGAATGTAAAGGAAAGCATTTGAGTTCTCTAGAATTCCTTGCTTGGCTAGATGATACAATCTTGTTGGGAATGGGTTGGGGATTTCTATAGACTTTACATAGTTGTAGAGACTGCTATTGTCTTTTTTATGTGCCTGGATATAAGTTCTCTTGTTCATTGATGAATTTTATCTGCCCTTAAGTATAGTGGCCTTGGTGTCTGTTGCGGCTTATCAAAATCCATGGATGCTCAAGTCCCATGATATACAATGTATAGTGTAATGGTGTCCCTTGAATAAAATGGCAAAATGAAGTTTTGGGGAGGGGGCAGTGGTGGGGATGAATACAGTATTTGTGGATGGTTGAATCAATGGATTCAAAATTTGTGCATATAGAGGGCCAACTGTAATTCCTGCCATTTGCTGATCAAGCCAATCACATGTCAATCATAATGTTTACAAAGGCATAGGGCTATATAAGTATGGCTGGTGATAGTGTCTAGCCATTCTTTGAGAGAACTTTGAACCTTATCCAGCTCCCAGGTTCAGTGATCTGTGCAAGCAAAAAGCAAAAGTTTCAGCTCCAAGCATCTGATGTTCTCTGAGGAATTATAGATGAGAGAGAGAGATACCTCAGTGTTTTGCTTGTGGGCATCTAATTGGCCTTAGAGAAGCAGGATACTGAGTCAACCATTCTAGTTTAGCTAGTTTCTCTTATGAGTTTTACTTGTGACTGCACATTTCACTGGAAAGGTTTGGAGTGCCCTCAAAGTATGACAGAATTGATAGGATGGATGTTTCCCAAAGAGAAAAGGGCATAGTGTCCAAAGACTATCTATGGACCGTTGCAGATAATTAAACACTGATGTTGATTTACGTATTAGACGCCTGTTTTTGCTAGCAGGGGTGTATCCACAGTACACATTTTTACTGCTATGCCTCCATACATGGAATCTTGAGATTTATAGTTTTGGTGATATATTTAGAATATTCTGCTGGAGAACTCCAATGGTCTAGTTCAGGGGAGTGGAGTAGCGTTCTCCAGCTCAAAAACCTATGTACATCATTACCAGCTCCAAAATTCTTTAGGATGAAGCTATGGCAGTTTAATTGCTATGTCATTATAGGTCTTGTTTCTTTCTTTTATAGATATACTACCATTGTTGTCCAAGGAACTGGAACAATGAAAGAGACATTTTTGCCAAGGGCTGACAGTCTAATTTTTTAAAAGGGAATGCAAAGGAAGGAAAGTATCCATATAAATTCTGCAGTGTGGATACAGTCCAAGTATCATTGCTTGTGACTGTATTGTGCTGATCAGCATTGGCAAACAGGTTGTGATAAATGTTGCCTCCTTGCAGCTACTTGTAGGGGGGAAGGATTGCTTTCACCATGTATTAGTACTGAAACATCATTACATTTGAAGATTCATATGAGCACAATATGTGTGTTCAAATCCTTTCCATGTGTTCAGCATAGATTGCTCTGAAGTAAACGTGTATAGGATAGATGATAGGTAGCCTATGCTATTTCTGAAAAGAATGAATGATGACAGCTGCCTTAATAAATAGGCCTCCACTTCCACAGGGATTAAGGGTACAAAACCCCAATAAAAGTGGAAAGCCATGAAAGAAGTTTTTAAAAACCTAAGGTTACATTTCTCTAGCAATTCCCCAAGTCCTCCTGTACAGTTCTATAGTCAGTATCTACTATATCTTGGTGATCTATTTTGAAAGATCATTTTGGGTGCCACAAACCCTCCAATCTAGTTTCAAGCCCCACTTTATCCCTCTCTGTCATTCTGGGGTTTGTGGGCTTCTGCTACTATCTCTATTTCTGCTTTCTGCTATGGCTGAAAAAGCCATAGAAAAGACCTTGAGAAACCTGACTTGGCCACGGTGGTCCATTCCTTAGTTACATCCCGACTGGATTACTGCAACACCCTCTACATGGGGCTGCTTTTCAAGATGGCTCAGAAACTGCAGTTGGTGGAAAGGTCGACAGCCAGGTTGCTAACTGGAGCTAATTATAGGAAGCAGATAAAGGGAGCAGATATAGGGAGCCCCTATTTAAACAGTTCCCCTGGTTACCGATAAGTTTCCGGTCGCAATTCAAAGTGTAGGTCATCACCTACAAAACCCTAAATGGTTCAGGTCCTGCCTATCTTCGCGATCGCATTTTCCCATATGAACTGACATGGATCTTAAGATCTGCTGCAGAGGCACTTGTCTCGCTCCCACCATCATCACAAGCACAGTTTGTGGGGACGAGAAAGGGCCTTCTTGGTGATGCCCCCACGGCTCCTTCCCTAGGGATATTAGGCTAATACCCACTCTGTCTACCTTCTGTGGGGACCTCAAAACATGGATGTTCAAATGCATATTTGAAAATAGTTAGGCCCCTGCCTATGATTGCCCAGCTCTAATTGACTGTCATATAAAATCTCAGCACTTTACCCCAGCCCTCTCCCTATAATCTGGTTTTGCACAAGCCCATGCCCAACCCTCTCTAATTTTGATCTGTCCACCATAGTCCTGGTTCTTGTTATTGAGATTGGCTTTGATTTATTCCAATGCAGTTTTTAAAATTTACTGTTTTAATTGTGTAATTAGATTGTCATATGTTTATTGTGAGGTTTTTTTTTTGTTATTTTCCATTTTTATTTCTTTTCAAATCACAACACAAAAAATTGTTCCAAACTGAGAAAAAGTTTCATTTTGTTTTTACATATAAAAAAATTACGTATAAAAATAAAAATGTTTATTGTGTTTTTAATGTGTTTTTACTTGTCTAACTTTTTTGTTATTGTGCTTGATCCCGCTTGTAAGCCTCCTCAAGTCCCTTCAGGGAGATGGTGGTGGGACATAAAAATAAAGGTATTATTATTATTATTATTATTATTATTATTATAGTTCGTCTAGAATAATTGTCTGTAATACCAGGACAACGGTACAGTGGCTGCTTTTGTGGATTGAAGCCTCATCCTACTGTTTTCCATGAGAGTAGGAAAGAATGTGAGACGTTTTAACATCTTAACCATGAATAGTGCAAAATGGAGAAATCTTGAGCCAGCAGTGTTCCCAGCCTCTCGAGGATATACAGTATGCCTTCTAAATCTAAGGCTCAGTTACATGTTGCTGTAGAACCAGTACACACCCATTACGTGAGAGATGCTGCATGGCCAAAAAGATGAGGCATGGAAGATCCATGATGAGATGTTCTGATGTTTTCCTCTTAGTTCATGTTGTATGCCTGCTGCACTGATGCTGAAAGAGAAGGATAATTTCTCCTTCTTAGCCATTTCCTCACTCAAAGTGATGATTAATCCCACAATTGAACACTGTACTGTATGTTTTTTGCAATATAGTTTCTCATTTCTACCTATGGAATCAGTGATATGATCAAATGTTGTAAAACAGTTTATTTCAAGCAGCAATTTGGTCCTGTATTGTATTCTCTTAACTTTCTGTTGGATTCTTAATATCTTGAATTATACAATGTTTATTTTTTAAAATTGCAAACAGATTTTTCTCTTTTGTTGCAATGCTGTGGGTTTGTTAGTTCATTTGTTTGACCCAAGAGCCAAGTGATGTAACATAGAGGACCCTTTAATTACTTGTTTGTGCTTTCTTGGGTCCTGGTCAGGAGCATGTGGGCCTGCCCTGCCGTACAGAAAGGGTGACATTAGATTGGGTGGGAGGAATCCTGAATCATTCTTGATTTTCTGCCTAACATCCACTTTGGGAATTCCACCCTCTCCTAAAATGCAGCCAGATTTAAGGGTGTGTGTGGTGAAAGAGGGAGGGGCAGGGATGGGATCACCCCCCAGCTGTTCCTGACCAAAGCACATTGCTCTCCCGCACATTGCTGCAATTCTTTCCTGGGGAAACTGAGCCACTGCAAAAGCCAGAGAATTAATGCCATGGCCACTCTTCAGAAGCCCATCACAAATAGCAGGAATTGACTCTACTTTCACCTCCATATTTGCTCTATGCTTTCTGGGTTTGGAGGTCAGTGTCAAGGTTTTAACATGGGATCTGTGGCAGGAGGTGAGTGTTAAGTAGAGACCAGAGTTGTCCATGTTTGCTTGCATTTTCTTGTGTGGGCTGCTACTTACACAATACAACTTTGGCTTTGTGAGAACTTTCTCTCCCTTGTAATTGTGTTTTGACGTTGCTGCAAGAACTCGCGTGCACCTATGCAGTAGTTGTTTCTATAATGCTAGGTCCATGGGAAATTCCATATATCCATACTATGTGTCTTTGAGGTGAGTGGAGTGATTAAACCTCTCTGAGTTTCAGTCTGAACTTTAAAGGAAGTGCCCAAGATGTTAAAGTCAACTTCCACTGAAAAGCCCTTTTAAAGTTCAGAGCTAACATCAGGAGACAATTCATGAAGCCACTAAAGTCTGAGCCACCAAGTGCCACTAATTCATATTTACATTTGTACCATGCAGTTGTTTCTAGACCTTTGTGATCCTCACAGTGTCCTCTATGAATGGAATCCTCTTATATTGTGTGCAGTGATGGAAGCACACAACCCAAAGAAAATTATCTGAATGAACAGTGATCAACTTTGGGTCCAGAAATATTTTGTCCTTTATCTTCTAAATGATTGTAAATATGGGACAGATGGAATGTGCAGCTACTAGAAAGCATACCAATGTTCTGACACTAAGATTCCACTGAATCAGGTTGTATATTATTATCTTTCTTTGTGGTTGGGGTTTTCAAAGAAGTGATGAACTAAACAGAGTTCATTGCATTGTGTTAAAGTTCAGCTAGTTTTTTTCATATGTGATGGTTCACTGTAAATTTGCTCCACTGATATAGTAGGAAATTTTGGAGTGCAGCCACCTGTTATGACAGTCCCCATAGCCATGACCCCGAGGAGGACCCAAAAATGCCAGCATTTATATTCATCCATATCAACAAACCAGTTCCATCCCTTTTCAACTCTACTGGGAGCAGATGTTTTGTAAAATTAGTGGGTCTTAATTGTGCATTAAAGTCAGGCCAAAATGCCTTTTCATTACAACATGGAAACTCACAAAAATACCTTGCAACTTTGAAAACTCACTTTTATGGTGTGGGCTGCTACTAAATACAAAATGGTAAGAGAAACATAAGGGAAGATGCCAGATGAAATTTTCAGCCTTGCTGATGAAAGATGTCAATCTTTTGTCCTTCAGAGCTTTGACTGTTGGGCTCCCACTGTAATAGAAAGAGTAAGCAAGAAGATGATGAAAATGGGATATTTGGGATAGTTGCTTGATTGAGACCCAGACTTTTAACAAAGGTACATTGAACTGTGGCTCTTTAGAGAATGGGGTTAAATTTCCTGCTCAGCCATGGAAACCCGTTGGTGATCCCTTAGGTAAATCATACACTCTCAGCCCCAGAAAAATCTGTGATAGGTTCACCTTAGGTTCACCATGTTGGGAATGACTTGAAAACACACAACCTTTCTCTCCATACTGAGAAAATGCTTACAACCTTATTTGCACATTTATTTGTGATTTGTTTTTATGATAAAAAAGTAATTAATACAGGAAGAGCTGGCAGGAAGTGCTGTCATAAACAGTGGCCTTGATACTGCACCTGATTCTCTAGCAGCATTCCCCAGTGGGTGGAAGTCGAAGGGCTGGACTCACCTAAAAATAACAATATGACAAAGCTCACTCTCATCCTGTTCACAGTTGAGAGAAGTACTGGAGTACAATTCATGTACTTTAGTGCTGCTTCTCATCCTCCACCACACGTATAGTAAGACAGTGGAAAGTCTTTGGTTACTGCACAGCTGTTGTGGCCATACAGGTTTCCTTTCTTGTAGATCATGTTACAGACAGCAGAGGTCTGCCCAGGAATAAGGACAGTAGTAGCAGTCCATGTCTATTTCCCAAGTTGCTATGACAAACAGATTATGTGAAAGGCATTTCTGAGGGGTACTCTAGAGCAGAGGCAGCCCTAGGTAATTTTCAACAGTAAGGAAACAGTATTTTGCCCCCCCCCCCCCAACCAATCACTGATATATATTTTCTGTTTGTCGTGGGAGTTCTGTGTGCCATATTTGGTTCAATTCCATCATTGGTGGAGTTCAGAATGCTCTTTGATTGTAGGTGAACTATATATCCCAGTAACTACAACTCGCATATGTCAAGGTCAGTTTTCCCCCAAGAGTGCCTCAAGAGTGCCCCTGGGCAAAATCAACTATACTGCAAATGCTTACTTTGCGTAATGGGTTGAGTCGCCCCTGCTCTAGAGTTACTTAAAACTAAACAGTGGAAAGTAAAGTTGTATAAGCATGGAAAAGTTGAGTCTTTCCACACATACGTATACCATTTTCAGAAAGCATTTATTTGGGAAAGCTGACCAAATAAATAATTTTGATATTGTTCTTCTTCATCTTTTGTGTTAGGAAGTTTTTGTTGTGTTGCATTTGTCAAGATGCACTGAAGTTGCTGATGCTTCCTAGTTGTGTTTCTATGCATTTAAATAAAAAAAATCAGTGGAAAGAAAAAGATGACCCCAGTACCACAATTTCATTAATCCACATCTGATAAAATATGTCCTCTAGGCATTTTCTAGATGCTCCAGTGCAACTCTGTGGTATTCTTAGACCAGATAGCCTTCATTTCAATAATGTCCATGGTTTTGCATTTCCACCACACACACACCACCACCACCACCACCACCACCTTGAATATGGAGTTGCACTATATTGGTCCCCCCCCCCCCCCCATCAGTTGGTTGGTCTCAGTAAGGAGCCATTTCAGTGGTTGCCACTTTGGGCACTAGTATGCTACACAGTTAGAACACTATGTTTCACTTCAACCATCATGACTCCAAGGGCTTTCTGAAAGGAAATCTAAATGCCCCTCCCTGAACTGCATTTTCCATGATCCCATACAATGTTGCTATGGCAGGAAAAGTAGAGTAATAACACTATTAACTGTTTAGTGTGATAGGGACCTTACTGTTTCTGTTCTCCTCCACTTAAGTATCACTTTAACTGCATGGCTCCATTACACAGAATTGGGGGATTTCCAGTTTTGTGACATGCTTATAATTCTTTTCCACATAACTTTTGTACCTTCCCAAACTGCAAACCCTAGTATTCCATGGGCTACATCCATAGCAGTTAGTGTCATCAAAGCACTATAATAGCATAATGTGAAAGAGAGTCTCTCCTGAACCTTCTGACATGCACGGGAGACATAGGGGAGTGGGCTGTGTTTTTCTCTTGTACCTCACAGACCTTCTGACTCAAAGAACTTTTCTCCCAAGTTCCAGGCTCAAGGGGTGAGGGGAAGTAAAGTTGATCACAATTTGTTATGTATCTGCACTACAGAGTCATATTACTAGTTTTATAGTTTGGTAAAGCACTTGAAATTATCTGCAAGGACCTGTAGTACATCTTGCTGGACTATACAACCCTAGCACTTTCAAGATGAGAATTCTCCCCAAATTAAAAATCCCAAAATTCCATAGGATGCAACCGTAACAGTTAAAGTGGTACCACAGTGACCTAACTAATACATGCAGACCAGTGGTCCTCAAACTTTTTAAGGAAATGGCCTATCACAGTCCCTTAGACTGTTTTTTTTTGGGGGGGGGGTGGACTGTGGTTTGAAAAAATAATGACTTTCCTATGCATATTGCGCATATCTTCTTTGTAGTGCAAAATGTTTTGAAAGAATGCAATAGTATGTAAAACGAATAATTTTAACCGACATGAACTAACCTGTATTTCAATGTTAAGTGTTGGCCTGCTTTTGACAGATGAGATAGTCAAGTTAATTAGGATTGTTGTTGTTGTGTGCCTTCAAGTCATTTCAGACTTAGGACAACCCTAAGTCCAAAGTTTAGGGTGGGGGTGGATTACATGACCTTGGAGGGCCACATCTGACCCACGGGCCTTCATTTGGGGACCCCTGATGTTGTGTTCAAGATATCCTGCGGATCTCAGAACCAAAGTATTAGGGAAAAGGTGAGTAGAGAGAAGATGTAGATGTACCATACTGATGGATGCCACTGCATTTGGGGACACAAGCTTTTGAAAATATTCTTCCAGCACCAACCACTCAGTGCTGTGCACTTCCAGCTGTATACAAACTGCCACCAATTTGTAGTCCACATATTGGGTGAATGTCAATTCCTCTTGTCCACAGGCAGCATGGACCTTAGAAGTGATTAGAGTTGTAACCGAATACATCAGAAGAGACCTCGGGGTGAGGAAAGCAGCTGTAAGATTTACATTTCCTTGGGATGTTTATGCCCTCTTTGCTCTGGGATTCTCCTGCCCAGATTTTAGCTGGAATCCCACATTTCCTATTCCTTCACATTCCCTGGAGACACTCACCTCTGTGGTTTGAAGTGTAGTGCAAATTGTTTTCCATTCAAATACCTTTCTTGTGGGACTCTCAAGCCAAGGAGGCACCCTATTATTATCTATATTTCCTGTTCCAGACAGATGATAAAACCTCTCCCCTTTTGCATTTTTATTCTTGGGAAGGTTTTCATTTCCCATGTCCCACCAGCATTGAAGCCATGCATATCTTCATATGCTGTTATATTGCAGTTTCCAGCAACCCACCCTCACTAGTAGTGGTAGCGAATGCTGGGAGTAGCTTCTCAACAACATCTGGAGGTCCACATCATTCCCACCCTGCCCTGCCTTCTACAAAGTACCTCCTATAAAGCAATCTTCCCTTGCTTCCCAATGTAAGAGAATGCGGATTTATGATTGTTGGCAATGCCATTTATTTACTTTTGTTGTGTTTCTAATTCATGATGTCAACTGGATTTTTAAATATATATGCAGTTCATACATTTTTAATCAGCTGGATTGTAAACTGCTTTGGGGGCCGTGGCTTGGCTGGGAAACAGGATACAAATAGTAAAGAAAACTTCCTCCAGAGATTAAGGGAAGGACTCCATCCAACAAAAACCGGGTTTGGTGACTAATTAAGTTATATCTACAGATATTGCCTCAGATTGCATAATGAATTTTGTATCTAGAAGGAAGAGACACAATTAGCTATATGGTA